AGGGAAAATCAAAATGCATAGAGTTAGCACGGAACAAACGTGAATAATGGAATATAATGAAGCATGGTAGCAGATTGAGGCTCCATTAGATCTACCACTGCATCAACTGATGCTGCTCTGTACTTCTTGCTAGCTTGCAATATAAGATCTTCCTACTTCTCTAGTAGATTTCATGAACATATAAAGGAAGTAAACAATTGAAGAAAGTAGTAATAAGCTCAAAGATTTTCAATAGAAATTTTAAAGTTAAACCCGCATCCAATCCAGCACCTTGAAGATTTCTAGTTTTCGCATTATATAAATAAATCCAAACCCTAAACCTAAATCATGTATTAGGATACAAAATTGAAGTTTAGACCTAAACCCTAAAGAGAAGCTAATTATTATCTCGAATATTGTTAACGCCTCTATACAAAAAATAACTGAGAGAAGAGAACATCCACGGTGAATCACTTAGGTTCCCCGGAAATCTGCCGCACCGAACACGCTACCACTTGCGCCCATTGACGCAACCTAGTTTTAACCATCTCCGGATCGTCGCCTATAATACAATAAATCAAAATCAAACAATTAAGAAACACGATGCGAGTGTAGTTCGATTGAACTTAATAAGAAAATTACTTTGATACTAAACATTACCTTGGTCAATTATCGAGGCAGTGCTACCAGTGTCACTTAAAGAGTCCATCGAGGACATGGACGAAGACCTCGACATTCCACCGTTAAATTGGCGATTAACGGCACAGTAAAACTCCAAAGCGGGTAGAGTTTGGGGATAGTTTCGGATCCAATTCAGGCGAATCTGGTTCGAAACCGAAACCTAAATCTATGCAGCCTTTGAGGTCCTCTATATCATGGTCGGTGAAGCTCTGAGTACGGCGGATTCCCCGGCCATAAAGCTCCTTCCTCTTGAGCCACGCCTCTTCTCGCTCCGCGTCAGGACACCATGACCGCTGCTTGTGTAAAACGCTTCGTTGCAGCGAGGGAGCAGGAAGCGAAGGCACGTAACGTCTCGTCATTGGGTTCAGGGCCACCGCGAAACACCGTCTGGTGGCGGCTGAGGTTTTCGAGGTCAGCGAGGGAGAGAAGAGGGAGGGACTTGTGTCACGTAACTGATGGATATATAAACGTATATTTATTTATACACGAATTACTTCAAAAAGAGAATAAGAATTACACTCGAATTAGGACTCGAGAGTAATTTCGGTAGTTTAAAAGGATTGATTTTGAAATACTCTATTCTTCAAGGGCGTTGTGTTTGCAAATTTATTAAATCGTTGGGAGGGTTCGGTGGGTCCAAGTGGGGCCAACTCTCAATTATTGAGAACTCCCCACTAATAATGCAAGGGTAAATATGTAAATTAAAACTTACTAGCTAAGTTTTCGAATTGTTTAAGAAATCTTTCTTTAGAGGATACAGTTTCGCGTTTTTTTTTCTTTCATCGGTAGGAACGAATATTCTTTTCCTTTATTTTTTATACCAAGTTAAATTCTTTTATGGTTGTCAACTTGTTTTACATGTTTATAATCTCTAATTATGTTTCAAATTTGCCCATCATTCAGATTTGTAAATTAAAAAAAAATTGTGTACTAATAATATTTAAAATCCTTTTAAAAATTTAATGGTACCGTATTTTTGATCGAAATTTATTATTTAAAATATTTGATAATATCTGTGATATTATTATAATGTGATTATCAATGGTCGTATAATGTGATACATCTCTAATAGAATTAGAAGTATTTCTGTTTTTTCTCTCCTATAATTTTACTTTCCTCTTCCTCTCTAATTAAGATTAGAATTAAAATTAGGATTCGTAAAAAATGTTATTCTTATTATTTGATATTTGTTAAAGTAATTTGCTATGATCTTATGTGACATGCTATTAGAGAGGAACAATGTAATTTGTTAAAGTAATTATGTGACATGCTATTAAAGTAATTGTCATCCTTTGATTCTCTTTATTAGTTTTGATTACCTCGTTAAGTTATTTAAGCCTATTCTGTGTAGTTTGACTGTTTTTGTAAAAAATTTAATTCTTTTATAATTATTAGGTCACAAAGTAATGATAAAATTAAACTAAATAGAAAAGAGATAAAGATTTTCAAATTAAAAAATAATGCATGTACTCAATTTTGAAAAAGTAAAGTATAAGAATTTAATTATAATTTTTAGGATAATATAAATACATGTGATATGATTTGATAAACTTGACTCGAACCGATTTATACAACCCAATATCCAATATTAACCTGAATATGACCAAAATTTAGTTGACCTAATATGAACCCACATCCAATTTGACCCGAATTGAAAACAATCCGAACCAAAATTAACCTGAATCGAAAGAATCGAAACAACCTAAACTAAATTTAGCCCGAACTGAATTTAATCGGATCTAAAATTAATTTGAACTGAAAGCAATATGAACCGAAAACTATATATACTTGATTAGACTTATAACTGAATTAAGCCTAAATGATAAGGTTAACAAATAAGAATACATATTTTACAAGATATCAATAATTCTATATATACTTGAGTAGACTTATAACTAATTCAATATGAATTGGCCTAATCGAAAATCAATCGATCCGATATTGATCCGATCTGAAATCTAACTGATCTAATTTTGATCCAAATCGAAAAATAATTAATATGATAGTCACTCGACCTAAAAATTGATCCACCCGAGAATTGACCTGACCCGACCCGACCCAATTTATCATACACCCAAACTAAATCCGAACCAAATTCGATCCAACCCGAATAAAATTAAACCGAATATAATCTAGACTCGAAATGACTCGACCTGACCCAATTTTTTATACACCCAAACTAAATCCGAATTAAACCCGATCCAACCCGATACAAAGGATCCGTTTGCAACCTCTAATTAAATATTGTAGAGACGAGCTGCATCCACATGTTGAAATGAAGCTGTTTTTATTAGTGTTTTATATGTATTGACCAAATCTGTGAAGGCGGTGTTTTGGTGGAAAGGAAATGAATGGTGCAAATGGTGATGTGTAGAAAGAGTTTGGGTGAATTGGGTGGTGATTCACCTGACGCAGCTGGTGCCATTGTTAATGCTGCTGTTCCCCCATAAGCTTTGATGGGGTTCAAGCTTAGCACCTCATCACACACATTTCCATCATGCTCTCTTCTTCTAACTTCACCATTTGACGCACGGGGTCTAAGCCTCCGTCTCTTCTTCTGCTTCTTTAATTTCCTTTCTTTTGTTGCGAATTTTGTTTATTTTTAAATCTTTGTTATGTTAGGTATCATCCTAAATTAGTCTGTTATATCTTTAGAGATGATTTCTAGAAATTATTAGTTGTTTGTCAATCGAAAATCTTAAACAAATTTCTTTATTAACCGAAATTGTTAAAGGATTTTTAATTTCTGAGGACGAAAGCAGTATTAATCTTCAGATGAGCAACAACGCATAATCAAATCTTCTAAATAGTACCGTCGACAAACTTACATGATCTATCATGACAAAATTCAAGATTTAATAGCTGACCTACGAAAATATTAAAGTATCATCTTTCTGTTATGCATCAGTTAACTTGTTAGCCAACCTTTAGGTTATTGTTGCTTACCCAGTTAGTTGGTTGAACTTTGGGCTATTTTATAAATGTTCTCTCTTTAATGATATAGAGCATTTTGATGTTAAACATCTTTCCTATTATTCTATTGATATTTTGTCAAAATCCCTAAGTCGTCTTCACTCTTTTTTTTTTTTTTTGTTATTCCTTAAAGTATCATCTTTCTGTATGCATCAGTTAACTTGTTAGCCAACTTTAGGTTATGTTGCTTACCCCAGTTAGTTGGTTGAACTTTGGGCTATTTTATAAATGTCTCTCTTTAATGATATAGAGCATTTGATGTTAAACATCTTTCCTATTATTCTATTGATATTTTGTCAAAATCCCTAAGTCGTCTTCACTCTTTTTTTTTTTTTTTTGTTATTCCACTCACCTTCATCCCTTCATTAGAGATTTCTCTGCTCTTAATGTTGTTAATTCTAACTAGTATCATCCTTCAAATTAATTTGTTATGTCTTTGGGGATGATTTCTAAATTTTTTTAGTTGTTTGTCAACTCAAAATCTTAAACAAATTTCTTTATCCGCTGGAGTTGTTAAAGGATCTCTAATTTCCGAGGGCAAAAGTATCATTAACCTTCAAATGAGCAACAATGCATAATCAAAACCTCTAAATAGGACCATCGACAAAATTCAAGATTTAATAGCCTTATAGCTGACCTACAAATAATCATAATAATCTTATATCTGACATTGTCAGCATAAGATCACTATAAACACTCATCAACTACGAGTGAATCCGAATAGAGATTTTTTCTTTCATCACATCTTCTTTTATGCTTTTAAATTTCTCACACATAAACATCTCTAAACGGTCGTTATCTTATCAATTATGACTCTTCTCTTAAACTAAAAAAAATAAACCACCAATAATTAACTAGAAAAGTTTGTTCCCGTCAATAGAATCAATATTAGATATCACTGTCTCATTTGGAAGCATGTTATTGAAACATTTATTATGTACAATTCACAACATTTCAACTGCAATAGAACTAAACAAATGTAAGTCCACCTGTTTATTTGTACTAAAAGCAATCATAAAGTGGGCTAAACTATATTGTTCCTTGCTATCGTTCTGATTATAGCATATGAATGTCTGTTGATTGTATAGTTCTTCAACATTTTTATGATTTCTAGATTATTAATTTCAACAATTGTTTTTTTAGCTTCAGTGTTCTAAATTTATTGCAATTCTTCTGTGATCCCATGTAAAGATGGACGAAGGATTTTATGTTAGAAGACAAATTTATTTATTTTTTTGGATAATTCAAATTCATTACCCAAGAAGTAGAAAACTGCTACAGTATACAATGACAAAATCAGCTGATTTGCAGAGCTAAGCATAGTACAATCGCCATCTAACCAGGCAGAAAATAAGAACAATACCTACTCAAGCAATGCCCCACTTTGCAGACAGGGCAATATTAGATGAACCAGCTGTGTTGAAGGATTTACCTCCCAACAGTAATTGGATTGCCTCCTTGATATCTCCCAACAGCTCTTCCTTTGATCTGGCTCTATTCCCAAACAACCTGCTATTTCTTTCCTTCCAAACACTGTACACATGACCAGTCCAAGCAAGTTTAAGTATTTTAACGATGAGAGAATTGCCCTTGAGCAACAAAGAAGCCCAAGCCAGTTCTCCCTCCCAGCTACAAGCTACACGAGGGATGCAACAAAGATCCAGAATAGAGCTCCAAAGATCCTTGGCAAAATGGCATTCAAAGAAGAGATGGTCTCTTGTCTCTGCCTTATTGCCACAAAATAAACAGCTATCAGATTCAATAGCGAGGCCCATACGCAGGAGTCTAACCCGAGTAGGCAACCTGTTTAATATGGCCATCCATACAATAATGGTGTGCTTGGGGATTCGTCCAGAGAACCATACCATGTGATGCCAAGCAACTTTGGGGGCAGGTGAGCGTAATTCTTCCCATATGTACCACCTCACACTGAGATCACGAACCCGGCCCAGAAAGAGATGAGAAGCTCCAGCTTCCATTCATGGGGATTTTCATATGCCAGAAATCAGCTTCTCTAATAACATAAGAACGGAATAAAAAATATATAAAAAAATATAAGATATAAAATAATTTTAAAATTTTAGGGGACGACTGCCTTCACCCGAAGTTAGCTACATCGTGATCCCATGCTTCATCTTCTTCTGAGGAGTTCTTTTTTTCTTTCAAAGTGCATATCCTCAAATTTATATTCTCTCATAGTCTCGAAGGACACCCCTAAAAAATATTATTATTTTAGAGTTTTTAATAACAAATTATTGAACTGTTTTAATCACACTCACATCTATTTATATATCTTAAGGGTCGATTAAAATGCATTAGATTGAGATATTCAAATCATTACACTAATAAAGTTGTACTTTTCAATTAAGATAAAAAAAATTCTTCTATGTAAATGTTAGGAGGGTCCTGGGTCTCACCTTCAACAATTCTTTGGTTTATATATTCTTTATATCTTCACTTATTTTAAAATTATTATTATTTTAAAATTTTAGGGGACGACTGTCTTCACCCGAAGTTATCTCTGTCTTTGTGACACGTTTATCTCTGTCTTTGTGGCATGTTTTTCTTTACCTTTTGGTAACTTTTGGTTGTTTGGTCGTTGTTTTTGTTTATCTTTTTTTCTCAGAGTTGGATTTGATATCATCACGACTGATCAAGATGGAACTTATTTGTTATTATGACGATCTTCCCTACTTTGGACCATCGGATTGATTTGGATACGCGTTTTGCGTTCGTGTATAATTTTCTCCCGTCGATTGACTCTGATTTACAATTTGTCGATAGTCTTTCAGTTGTTTCATCCCCTTTTGTGATTCATTTACTGATGCAGTCAAATTTGTTCGTATCTTTATTTTTTTCGAGCATTGGTTAGGTTTTTTTAACCTTTTTCCTTTTATGGTATTTGTGTGATCTAGGTGACTAGTTTTTGTGTCAATGATTATAGGAAAATATCCTAATTATAATTTCGTTTACGTTTAAGTTATGCGTGTAAATATTCAGTTTAATTTTGGATATTTTCTATTTTTAATAAAACTAACGGATTTTATTAAAAATTATTATTATTATTATTTAATCTATTTTTAAGACTTGTGTATTGTATATAACTAAACTTCAGCGGCAATGCTAATAATTTATTTATATACTTTCACACCTCATAATATTTTAATTGATTTATTACATTTTAATATTAAATTAATATATATAATCATAAAAGAATTAACTATAATCGACATATTTTTTTTGGAGAAATTGTTAAAATATCGAATTTAATTGAGAGATTAAATATGTATACGTGCACGTATACAGATACTATATAAATATTTGAACTCCCCAACATTTGATCCTCGGCCATTCTTGCTTGGGAATATTCAAGGTTAATTTGAAATAAAAATTGATTAATAAAAACTTTAAACTTTAAACTTTAATAAAGGATTTAATTTACCTTCATAAAAATCATTAAGAACTTTTTGTATAAATATTTAAATACTGAAAATCACAAAAAATGTGTATTTTCAATTACTTATAATGCTGATTTTAATAGAACAAGCTGGTAATTATTTACTATTAATAAATGATTATTCAGTGTTAACGGTTCGGTTACAGGTTAACTTACACTTATTACAATTTTATGTAAAAAAAACATTCATAATTCATACTAAAAGAAATGTAGCACTTAACACATACTTACACCAATATAAGTGAATAAAATAAAAAATGTAGCACATAACATATACTGACACCGGTGTAATTATGTTTTTGTATTTAGAATGAAATTAAAAATTAAAATTAAAAATAAAAAAATGTTTATTAAGTTATTTGAGTACAAGTTTTATTGAATATATATATAAATTATAAATAAAAATATTAAGTTATTTGTGTAAAAGTAGAATAAATTATAAATTTAATTATAAATTTAATTTATTAACGGCTAACTGTTTATTAAAATTTGTAATCGTAATTTTAACGGTCAATTATTATTTTTTAACACCCCTACACATTTTGATTAATTAACGTATAAAATATAGCGATTATACTAATTAATAATTATGATCAACGGTTACAGACTTTTTTTTACACCCCTACACGTTTTTGTGCATTCTACATTCACTTCTTCTAAGCCATCAGCCTTTACATATAATTATCTTAATTGTATTTCAGACGTAGTCATTAACAATGGTGTTATATAAGTTTTTTATTTAAGGTAAAAAATATAAAATATTAATAAAAATGTTACTAATTTTTAATATTAAAGGTGCGTTTAGAAATTTTCTATATAATTGGATTTGATGTAATTAGATATACTAAAATAATATTAATTGAATAAAAGGGAAATTTTATTTATCATAATTTATAAATACTTTTTATTTTTTAAAATAAAATAAATAGACATATAAAATAACATGCAAACCACGTAACATTAAAAACTATAATTATTGCAATATTAATCACTATCAAAGACTTATATTCACGAACGGACGTATGATTTTATGATAGGGGACGAATTTGAACTTATGAAAATTTCAGGGGGCGAACTTGAATTTATAAAATTTTAGGAGGGCGAAAAAATATTTTCAATAGAAAATACATAAAAATTTTAAAATATACAATAATTTTAGATTGTTTTAGGGCGCGACCGCCCTGCCTAGATCGATTCCTAGTTATATTAGACATTTAAAATAATAAATATGGTCCATAGAGTTTGGTAAAATAAAAAACATGGAAATTACATGTAATGCAAACCGCACATGTCTATTTTCAACTGGTCCTCTTTAAATATTAGTGAGATCAAATTTTACTAAAACAAGAGTATGTATAAACCAAAACAAACTTTATTTCTACATAAAACAACCTTAAAATATATATCCTTAAACTGAAGTAACTAAAATTTTGTTTATAAAAAACGAGTATTGAAAATACAAACTCCTACTAAAACTGAATATCCTTAAATGATATTACACCCACATGTAGTGTGCTCATGAAAGACCTTGAGTGACAGTTCCTTAATAAGCACGTAATAATGAGTTTGTACCAATATGCTCTATAAACACATAACCACTCTTATTTTTCTTTAACAACCAAAAACATAATGTCTATGTGCTTAGACTTTAAGGTGTTTCTCTTGTATATGGAATAAAAGACTGCAACTTTATTGTCACAAAATAACTCAAGTGGTCTTCTTATCAATCCATAATTAGCAATTTTGTGATAAAATTTTACATCTATATTCCAATAATTCAGAGTCCATAAACTTGATGACTAGACCTCCGATATGTAAGCATGTAATTTTTTTTGGTTCTTAAATGTTTCGTATGAATCAATTTGGTTGTTATCCAATTATTCATACCTAAATTGCTTAATATCCTAAAATCATACGCGATGTCCGAATTCATATAAACCTGAGTATACAATAAACTCCTCATTTTTTTTGAAGCATAAGGAGCCTTTAATATTTCCTTAGTTTCAAAATCATTCTTAAAGCACTGATCAAGACTAAAATTATTTCCTTTAGCGATAAGGGGTATCATTTGATTTACTCCCACTGAACTTATAGTATAGACAACTGTCAATCAAATTCATCATAAAATCAAACGAGATAACCATTTGATAAAATTTGTTATATAATTAACATGAGTCATACTTAAACTCATAAATGAATTTCCCTAATTTGCATATCATTAATTTTGTATCCACAGACACAATTTTCTAATTGCACCGTGTAAAATATCTCATCAATGTTACTATTTAGAAACACAATTTTAAAATTCAACTTATGTAACTCAAGATCAAATATGAGCAACAAGTATCATGATTATCTTGAAAGATTATTTCAATGAAACTGTCGCAACCGTCTTTCAGTTGAGCCCGGAATTGGGCTTCGACTTGGGTTAAATGAATTAGGAGTCGCTACCGATCATTTATTTTAAAGCAAATAGGTTGACTGAATACCTTATTTCTTACATGATCTGCGTCTTACCAGTGATATGTCGGATTCGGGAGTCGGTTACAGACAAGGAAGGGTTAGCACCCTTGAACTACCCTTTCGGTACTACATAATTTCCAGTTGTTTTAAATTAAGAAAATTGCAAGTTTAATTAAAAAGGTAAAAATTGATCTGAATTACTTACATTTAATTAACTTAAAAGTGTACCCTTAAGAAACTAAGAAACATGTTAGATAAAAAAATAATGGAAAAAATAGAGATAATGAAATAAAAACAAATGAGATACATGAAATAATATAAAGAAAAAAACAAAGAAAATGAAAAAGATGAAGTGAAGTGAAGGTAAAGAAAAGTAAATAAAATAAATGAAATAAGGATAAAGAAAATAAACGTGATAAAAATAAAAAATAAAGGTAAAATATAGAAAATAAGTAAAGGAAAAAAGAATAAAATAAAATAAAATGGGAAAATATGTAAAATATATAATAATAGTAAAAAACCAGAAATAAGGAAATATAAAAAGTAGAAAAAATATAATTAAATATATATATAAGTATAAATATAATATAAAATAAATAAGTTAAGAAAGAAAAATATATGTATATATAATATAATGTAATATAAAAGAGAAAATAACTTCAGTGACCAAAAATCCCAGATAATATACGATTTTGACCAACTTTTTTTGGATTTGCGAAAATGACCAACAAAATCGCAATGCGATCTCTAATTCGCATTGCGATCTCCACTATCGCAAATTCGCGTTGCATTTCGCGTTGCGATAGTTGAAAACCACAACGCGATTTTCCATTTCGCGTTGCGATAGTTGAAAATCGCGTTGCGATTTTCCATTTCGCGTTGCGGTTTTCCATTTCGTGTTGCGATAGTCTACAATGTCGTTACGATTTTCCAAATTCGTTGCGATAGTCTACAGTTGTTGTTGCGAAAGTCTACAGTTGTCGTTGCGATTTTCCAAATTCGTTGCGATAGTTAAAAAAAAAAGATTTTGTTTCTTAAGAATTTTCTCTAAAAAGATAG